CTAAGAGATAGCATAGATAAATGGGACCTCATAAAGCTAAAAAGCTTCTGTTCATCAAAAGAAATGGTCTCTAAACTGAAGAGAACACCCACAGAGTGGGAGAAAATATTTGCCAACTTACATCAGACAAAGGACTGATAACCAGAATATATAGGGAACTTAAAAAACTAAATTCTCCCAAAACTAATGAACCAATAAAGAAATGGGCAAGTGAACTAAACAGAACTTTCTCAAAAGAAGAAATTCAAATGGCCAAAAACACATGAAAAAATGCTCACCATCTCTAGCAATAAAGGAAATGCAAATTAAAACCACTAAGATTCCACCTCACCCCTGTTAGAATAGCCATCATTAGCAACACCACCAACAACAGGTGTTGGCGAGGATGCGGGAAAAAGGAACCCTCTTACACTTGGTGGGAATGTAGACTAGTACAACCACTCTGGAAAAAAATTTGGAGGCTACTTAAAAAGCTAGACATTGATCTACCATTTGATCCAGCAATACCACTCTTGGGGATATACCCAAAAGACTGTGACACAGGTTACTCCAGAGGCACCTGCACACCCATGTTTATTGCGGCACTATTCACAATAGCCAAGTTATGGAAACAGCCAAGATGCCCACCTGACGAATGGATTAAGAAAATGTGGTATCTATACACAATGGAATTTTATGCAGCCATGAAGAAGAACGAAATGTTATCATTCGCTGGTAAATGGATGGAATTGGAGAACATCATTCTGAGTGAGGTTAGCCTGGCCAAAAGACCAAAAATCGTATGTTCTCCCTCATATGTGGACATTAGATCAAGGGCAAACACAATAATGGGATTGGACTTTGAGCACATGATAAAAGCGAGAGCACACAAGGGAGGTATGAGGATAGGTAAGACACCTAAAAACTTAGCTAGCATTTGTTGCCCTTAATGCAGAGAAACTAAAGCAGATACCTTAAAAGCAACTGAGGCCAATAGGAAAAGGGGACCAGGAACTAGAGAAAAGGTTAGATCAAAAAGAATTAACCTAGAAGGTAACACACACGCACAGGAAATTAATGTGAGTCAATGCCCTGTATAGCTATCCTTATCTCAACCAGCAAAAACCCTTGTTCCTTCCTATTATTGCTTATACTCTCTCTACAACAAAATTAGAAATAAGGGCAAAATAGTTTCTGCTGGTATTGAGAGGGTGGAGGGGGAGAGGGAGGGGTCGGAGTGGGTGGTAAGGGAGGGGGTGGGGGCAGGGGGGAGAAATGACCCAAGCCTTGTATGCACATATGAATAATAAAAGAAAAAAAAAGTCATCTCCCCAAAACCTTGGAGCCATCCTTGACTCTGTTTCTTTCCACATTATATCTAGCCTATGATTGCAAACTGCTAGTTCTAACTCTAAAGTAGATCTGGACTCTGATGTGTCCTGACCACTTCACCAATACTGTGGTCAAGCATTCCCAGGGTTATTAGTAAAGTGATCAGCCAGCTGGGCACCAACACTACTCACTCTATTTTCCACATGCCAGACAATAGGACTTCTTTTTAAAATATCTAATATCAGATCATATCTTTCTTCTGCTGTAGTCCATTCCATTTCATTCCAAATAAAAGCCAGTGTCCTCAAATGCCCATGAAAGACCTCATCCCCAACTTCCTCTCTGATCTCTCTATTTTCCTCTTTGCTTCTTCTGGTCTACTCACATTGGCTTTCTTCTAGAAGTTGGCATAGCCCTTATTCAGGAATTTTAGACCCTTCAGTCTGGAATGTTTTTCTTGCAAATATTTCTATTGCTTGCTTTCTTACTCCTTTCAGGTCTTTCTTCAAACCTCTCAGTAACAATGAAAATTCCCCCAACCCCACTAACTGCACAAAATTGCCAGTATCTTCTTCCTTTAGCTGTTTATTTTTCTTCATAGTACTTACCACCATCTGACACACTATGTATTTTACTTATTTGCTGTATGTCTATTACTAGAACATAAGATATATTAGGGCACTCACTACTTCCTCTTGGGTTTTTCAGCTCTTATTTGTGTTTGCAAATACATAAGCATGTATATTTTAAACTAGGGGTGAAGAACCTTGGAAATTCCCTTTCTTCCCATAAGCTAAGAAACACAAATAAAACTACATTTTATTCATGGACTATTTTAATTTTTGTCTTGGTTTGGGTTTTTCTGTTAGCTGAAAAAGTATCTGGTCTACCAAACTGATGGAAGATGCAATAAGGCCACTCCATTTTTCATTTTTCAATACCTTCACCCCAGTCAGGTTGTCTTTCAAAATGGCATGACTGTCTTCCTGTTTCTATAGCCAGACATTTTGGAGACATTCTTGATTCCTTCCTCTGCCCTCACTACCTTATTCAGTTTGGAAAGCTGATTGGGCAAGAACCATTATCAAGAAAGTGTAATAGACTCACGAGAAGAAGAAAAGATAGTTTTAACCAAGTCCAAAAAGATATTTCTCATATTTAATATGCATACTAGAAGTGCATATACATATTCAGGTCTGCCACCAAAAATAACCCCAAAGCAGTGGCTGAACCACACATTCAAATCATTATCACAATCTCTGCAATCTTTTCTCTTACCTAACCAACCCAAGTAAAAGATTCTCATTGCTGGTCAGATGCAAGCAGCCATGTTGAAGAATAAAGAACTAAGAACATTCTCTAGATCTGACAACAGCTTCTGACCTCCAGCCTGCAAGACCCACTGCCGTTAGTCACCCAACAAAAGGAAATATATTGTGCTAACATTCTGGTAACAACCTGAATGTGACCAGAAGTGGGTTTTTCCCAAATTAAGCCTCCAGACAAAATACAGCCTAGACAATGCTTTTACTACAGCCATCTAAGACCCTGAGCAGAGGCACCATCTAAGTCATGCCTCAGTTCCTGACCCACAAAATTTACTAGATAAAATTGTGTGTTGCTTTAAGCCTTGGATACATGTGATTAGTTATATAGCAATAGAAAACTAAAACACATTGGGTTATTGCATAGAAAGTGAACATGAAAAGTTCAACTTTGAGCCATATTCAGATTTTAGCTCCATTCCTTTACCAGAAGTTTACAGTTTCTCTCCTTGTGTTTACATTGAGTATGGTAGCTGGATGGGTGGCATAGGCCTGTAACCCTAGCTACTTGGGAAGCAGAGACTAGAAGGACCTGCCTCCCAAGACTGTTGGTGGCTGATGTAGTAATACATATAGAAGGATGTATTTAGTAAGGAAGTAAATAAATCACCTTAATAAGTGTTGGCATATAGTATGTGTTGGTTATTTGTCATAATCAAGAAGGGTGATCTACTGCAGTTTGAAAGCAAGAGAAAATACTATTTCTACTCACAGAATGCCAACCTATTTGTACTTGTTCCATGAAGAGACTGTGGCATTTCACCTTTCTCTGGAATACCTTAGCTTAGTTCCTGCCTTCTGGTCTGAGTCTTTGTATAGAAATATTAGATGATCCATCTTTGCAGAACTTGAAAGTGAGAAGAACAGGGAAAGGCACAGACTGACAACTATAACCTGGCTAAAAAGACAAAATTAGAAGAATTTTGAAATAGCCAACACAGATGGAATTATAAGTTTTCCCTGCGTAATAACAGTAATTAATTCTCAAAACTAATGTAGACTGAGTGACAACAGCTCTTTGCTATAATTTAAAAGACACACACACACACACACACACACACATGCATGCTGTTTGTCAACATAAACTCCCACACAACTTACTGCAATGTAGGTAAAAAGCAGTAAAATATCCATATATGAGCAATAAATGAATGTATCGGGTTTTAAAATGTTGCAATTCCTTCATCACAGGTTGAAAAATGCTTCAAATATTATAACTTCTTGGTCACCAAATAATCAAAAGTTTGTCACAAATAAGTAATTTGTTTGCAGTGTATGGCTTCAGTACCACCATGATTCTAATGGATTATCAAGTCTGCTTAGACTTTTTTTGGAGGTGGGGATAGAGCTCAGGGCCTCACACATGCTACATAAGCACTCTACCACTAAGCCACCTCCATCGCTCAACTGCTTAGAACTTAAATACAAACGTGCCCTACTGGTGTTTTTTTTTTTAAATGTTGTCCTGCACTTTAAGGACACAATTAAAATTAACTCTAAAAAACACTGGAAGAAAAATGTGGTATTGAGAAATACCTTCTCAATGTTTGGGTGTGAAAAAATAAAGACATATTCCATCAGGAAAGAATTAATGGAGTAGATAGTCCAATTATTTTTATCCAATAGCTATTCTCAATCAGGAGTACTTTTGCCCCTGGGGGACATTTGGCAATGAAGAAAAATTTTGGTTGTTACAACTAGGGATGTTCTATTAGTGTCTAATGAATACAGGTCAGATATGTAAGTATTTTATAATACACACAACAACTCTCTACAACAGAGAATCATTGGGTCTAAATTCCAGCAGTGCAAAGGTTAAGAAACCCTGGGAGTCATGGTTTCCACAAAGTAGGAAATATTTGAGTAATATTTGTATATATTGTTTTTGGTTATATGAAACCATTTACTCCCTGATTCCATAGTTAAATTCATAATAGATTCAGTATTATAAAAGATTAGCATGAAAAGTAAAATTCTGAACAGCTTATTATGTTGCTTTAATGAGTATTTGGTACTGTGTAGGCACAGTACAGGTATACACAAATTATTAGTAGGTACAGGGGATCAGTTTTACGTAAACCACCCATTTTATTTTGTGTTCGCTGCATGTTATAAACAACCTGAGTAAGAAGAGAGTAAGTCTTCTGGATTACTGCTTCCTTCTCCAGGAAGAGAAAGAGCTGGGCATGCTCTAGAATTCTCAGAGTCTATGACTCAATGATTGAGATTCTGTGGTTCTAGTTTAGAGTAATTGCTAAGGGCTCATTGCTAAGGGCTCCATGTGACACTGGTGAAGAAGTAGACCATGATTTTGGCTTCCATATCCTTTCACTCATTCTCCTAGTAAAATTCTGCCAATGAATCATGGAGTCACCATCCCAGGAGAAAAGAGGGACCAATGTCATCACTATAGAACCAAATGAAACTATATTGGCTGCATTTCCCTTTAGACCTCATATCTCTCTGCTGGATTTCCTGAAAGGGGAACCAAAAGTTTTGGGGGTAAGTTCTCTCCAATCATGAGTCATGCTAGAGGGGAAAACAAGTGGTGCCTCCATGTTTGTCTGCAGAGATATCATTGTGTGATGATTTTCAGGGAGGGAGTTGATCCCTCCCCCTTTACTTTCCTCCCCAGTCATTCATCTGTAATATGTCCTTCTTGCAAACATGACTTCTAAGTCATTTTCTTATGTACAAATAGTCTGATCACCAGCAGACAAGCCAATGAATAGCCAATAATACCATTTCCCTAGATTTTGATAAACAAGACAAAGTTCTGTTTAGAAATACAGACAACTTGTCTCAAGTCTAAGGAATGTTTCTGAAGGCTTAGTTAACTCTGTTAAATATAATATTTTATTTGAACTAATAACTCCCCTAACTCTTGAGAAAATCCAAGAACTATTTCCTGAGGAGTTAAGAAACTTCAAGTATCTTATTGAGGAAGTAGCTTCAAGGTGCGGTGGTGCCTTGGAGCTAAGAATCCCTTAAAGGAAAGGTTAAACTTCTCCTTTGTGCTACTATAGGTATCATGAATTCTTCGAAATTCATATCAAAAGTTCTAAAGTGAACCACAAGCTATATATACAAACCAAAAAATTTCACCATAAATGTACCGAGGAGAGAGCTGTAGACACAATCCCCATCCTTGGTATAACAGTGAAATCACTTCTTATGTATGGTGACACCAAGATGTGGCATACGGACAAAACCTAGAAGGCTGGAGGATAAGTTTGGTCCCAAGAAGACTTTCCCTGGAAGATTGCTGTGTTTTCCATCTCCCTACAGACTTCTGACAGGTTAAGAGGCCAACTGGTTGTTCTCATTTCTATTTAGCCCATTGGATAAAGAGATAAGATGCAACCAGCTTCTCAAATATATGTCAGAAAACTTCATGAACTTTTAGGAACTGACATGAGCCTAATCCCAAAAAGCATATACAATTGGCCTCCTGACCTATAGGTGTCACAAACACAGATTCAACAAACCAAGAGTCAAAAATATTCGAAAAATTGTGTCTGTACTGAACATGTACAGACTTTTCTTTCTTGTCTCTGTTCTCTAAACAATACAGTAAAACAACTATTCATATAGCATTTACATTTCCTTAGGTATTATAAGTAACCTGGAGGTGATTTAAAGACTATGGGAGAGCAGAGCATGCTGGGACTCTCCTGCAATCTCAGCTACTTAGGAGGATCACAAGTCCAAAGCCAGCCTGGGCAAATTTAGTAAGACCCTGTCTCAGAAGAAAAAAAAGCAATAGGTCTGGGGCTTCACTAAAATTGTAGTGTATTTCTCTAGCATGCCTAAGGCCCTAGGTTCAATCCCCATTACTGAAAAAGAAAAAAGAATATGAGGAGTGCAAAAACTATGCTGTTTTATGTAAGGGACTTGAGCATCACAGATTTTGGTATCTGCAGGGGGTCGTGGAAACAATCTACTCTACCCTACCCCCATGGATAAAAAGGGATGACTATATTTAATGTGAAAAAGGGAAGGCTGAGAGGATAATTGTAAGATGCTAGTGCTACAAAAGTGGAAAAATGTAAGAGGAATCATTTGTAGTCCCTGTCCTAAAGAGGTGTACAAGGGGACACTTGGCTTGAGGGTCCTGACAATCTGAGAGTGACAAGAGGGAAAGCGTTCATTAAACACAAAGACATGCTGAGTGGCTTGGGGCAGGAGCAGGACCAAGGCACTGATAACTTCATGTACCTCTTCTTCTCACAGGCTGTCCACATCCTGCTTTCTCTGGTCATTATAGGACTTGGAATTATATTTGCATTTAATTCCATCACTTTCTCCAAAACATTTCCCCTCGTTTTCCTCACAGGATATCCATTCTGGGGTGCACTTATTGTGAGTACTATATATTAAGCATTTTTTATAAATTGCTATAAAGACTGATACCAACTTCTTCATGTCCTGTGACAATTAATTCTACAAATATGCTCCCTTCAGAAGACCAAAAAGACAATCCCCTCCATGGAACAAAAGGAGTTGTTCCGTTGGTCACTATGCTGCTATCCTCACAGTTACTACACCTGGGTGTACAATGCTTAAAAGTTTCCAGAGCTCTTGTATATATAGCACATCCCCACACCACCAGTGAGAAACCAAATAGGCAAATATTCTACTTTCTCCTTTGCAAATAAGGAAACCTGGTTTGAGGACAGGTAATAATTTTAACATAACTAGCTAGAATTCATGGAACCAAAGACCCCCCTAGCTAAAAGAGAATTTTAGCTTAACTCCCTTCTTAGCCCAATAGGCAAGTTTATTAGTCACTTATATAGGTAATAATGGAGCCACAAATATTGTTCTCAGAGCAATGCAAGTTCCTCCCAATCCCTACAGCCTTACTTCTTAATCTTACGACATGTGTTTAAGGGTAGACTCATTAGAACTTCTCACATTAGAGGGTAAAAGTATTGACCGTTTTACTTACTGCTATATTCTCAGAAACTGCAATCATGCTTGAGGCACAGTATGCATGAATAAATAAAAGAATCAATCAGTCAATGAACAAATAAATAGGTCATAAATGACACTATTGTTTCTGACTATTAAAAACCTACACTCTTTTTAAACATAAATATCTCATGCCATTTCTACATTTGCATTTCAAAAACCACTAATAATGTTTTTACATATGATATTGATTATGATCTTCAAACTATACATTCTTTACTTTAGAAAATCAAATACACACGCTCCTCACTACCCATTTCATAGTGGAATTTTCCCAGTGTTATTCATTGTAATCTGCATGCATGAACTACAATGTTTCTTGCCAACTTCTTTTTAAAACTTCATTCTACATGGAAAAGATATTTACTAAGAACATAACTATGTCTTTGTGGTAGTGTCCTAGGTGCTGGGACTTCTGGTGAGCAAGGCCACCCCTCAAGAGAAGTGGAGGACATATTTTTACACCTGTGCCCTAAGATAAGAGTTCCAGGAGCCATATTGAGGGCTTAGTAGAGGACTCACCTGGTGGCCTGGCGGGGGGGCTGGGCTGTGGAAAGTGCTTTACATACCAGTGGAAGTGGTGAAAATGCATCCTCCAACATTGACAGAGCCTGAGCCAAGGCTTTGATGTAAAAAAGAGAAATCAAAAGAAAACCAACTAGTTCACGGTTATAACATAAAATGAGGCCATAAATAGAAGATGAAACCAGGTCGCACTGGCCCCTGTGGTCATGTTAAGAATGTTGAATTTCAATATGAGAGCAAAGAGAATCCACTGGCAGTATTTAAAGTGAGTAGTGACATTTGAAGACCTGTTCTCACTGAAATATCATTTTGCTTTTAGAGTAGGTAATAAATTCAAGGATGATAACAGCAAACCTGGGAGCATTAATTGGGAGGAGGTTGCAATAACTCAGAGTGGAACAACAGTGGAAATAAAGATGGATAGCTTTGAAAGCAACTTGGAGTTGGAACTGACAAGACTTGGTGATATGATGGTAGGATGAAGTAGAGGAAGGTCCAAAAAGTAACTTTCAGTCTCTGTATGTCAGCTCAAGGTCCTTGGACTCCGAGACCCAGATGTCCTAAGGGCCAATGTCAATTCCCATAGAAAAAGCTTTTACCCCAGATCATTAAAACAAGTAAGAGCCTCCATCTTGGATGATAGTTTTCCTTTTCTCTGGGTGGTACGAGACTCTTTGTGATCTTGAAAAAAAGTAACTAGATAATTAACATTATGTTTCAGACCCCATATCAACTTTTAGAGGAGTCTTCCCTGAGAAAGTCTCCCTCTCTCTGGTCAGAACAGACAAAGTCCTTCCTTCCTCCCCTCTTCCAGGCCCAGAGAACTTAGAGCTTTTTTGCAGCCCAGCTACATCAAACATCTGGGTAGTGTCTTCTGGACCTCAAAGAGGGGCCTGCCTCCTCCCTGTTGTCAGTAGCAGAGTCCATGTTTAGAGCTAATCAAGTCCCACACCTATTTATTCTTGTATCAGTGACTACCGCTTTCCTCCCTAATGCACTGATGGGAAGATAAGATGATCTGAGAGTTCACAGACAGAGAGTTTGTGTATCCAAAGACCAGAGTTTGTACAGTGGTCAAACACATCACCTGTTAACTTTTGTCTCTTATTTTTTTGAATAGTTTTTTCTTACAGGATTCCTCACATTGAACAACAGGAAATCAAATAAAATTCTGGTAAGTGACTTTTGTGACTTCTTTGTCATTAAAAACTTTTATTTGCTTTATATCATATTTGTTTGTTAAACCTATTAGAACTGAAAATTTGTATACACCAAATTTGCAGCTCAGGTCATTCCTATTTACCAACACCTTCATGAGCTCTACATTCTCACGCTGGCTCCCATTTCCCTCATCATGCAAATGAAAGAGTCGTTTATTGGGAACCATTGTGTCTCCCTCTAACTAAATGGTTCTTACTTGGGAGTAGTTTTGCCTTTTTTCTTCCCACAAGGGGTATTTCACAATGTCTGATGACATATTTGATTATCATAACTGGGTGAGGGATGCTATTAGCCTCTAAAGGGTAGAAGTGAGGGATTTTTCTAAGCCTCCTAAAATGGACAGGGAAGTCTCTCAGTACAAAAGTATTATTTGACCAAAAATGTCTACAGTCCCCAGATTGAGAAACCCTGCTCCAACCAAAAAACCAATCCCAGGAACCTAGTAATTCTCACTCGCCAGCCCTCACCCTACAATACCAACAGAGGCTTTCATTTGAGGCCTACTCAAGGTTCAAATAAAAGGCTCTGAGCATTGATGCTACCTGATTCTAGGACTGAATCAAGGGGCTCACTCATTACTGTGTCAACTTGAAGGGAAAAGTAACTGTTTCTAAGGGCTATTTTGAAGACTGAATAAGATATAACTTATAAAAGGCATTATGATGCTTAAATGTTCATATTCGCTTCTAAGCATTCTGACCTTGACTAAAGTCCTAAAGATGTGGGCCTTCTCTCAAAGCCATTTATCTCTGTTTTTATGTTCTCTGTGAATTTCCTCTAGGAATAGTTACAAGCCAAAGAGAAGTTCTAGGGGGATGAGGGCCCTCATCCTCATGGAAATAAATGATGACAGTGCAGATGAAACAAAGTGCTGTTCTCTCTGTATTGACTTCTTCTAAGCTAAGAAATGTACTAAGGTTAAGACAAGCCTCTCTCTGACCCATGGTCATCTCCACAGATGGCGGTGATCAGGATAATAATGGGGGCAGAAATGCCAAACTGGACATGAGTTTCATCACAGCTCTTCTGCCAACTTTGGGATTGCTCATAGTCACTCAACTCCTGGATCCTATTCATCTATAAAATGGGGATAGCAAGTGTCTTGCCTTACATCCATCCCAAATCTATAATAAGGATCTGATGAGACTGAGGCTTGGTGTGTTCTCTGTAAAGCACAACCCACATGAGAGACTGCACATCTAGACACCTTAATCTTTAAAAAAAAATGTCCTGTGAGAGCCAAAACAGAGCCTGGGAAGAGCAAAGGACTAATGATTGAGAGAGATGGCATATCTGCATGCCCTCTTGCATTTTTTTGCCAAAATGCTTGTTTGCAATAAATATCTCAGTTTGAGATAAACATTAAGTCATAAGTATACTTCCGAGTCTTGTCAAACTAAGCCACAAACTGATCCAGGAAGAACGGACTGTGTACATGCATCACTGCCTTTCCTACCACAACAGACATAACACAATCAATAAAGGTGCAGTAAGTACACTCTGAGTTGAGACATAATGTTTTTTCTTTGTTTTTCCTTTAAAAGAGTAAGATCAGTGCTAGGAATGGATATGAAGAAAATAATAAGATGCCCCTCCTTCTTTTGAAGGAACTCAAGCATACATGTCTTCCTCCCAAATAAACACAATGGGAGTGAACAAAGGAATTGGATGGAGCAATATGAAACAACACCTTTAAACTCCAGTCCATCTGTTTTACCATCTCTAAATATGTTAGTGATTTTGTTGTTTATTGTTTGAATACGCTGGAGGAATGAATTTCATACATATGACATAGAATGTCACCTCTCATTTCTCATAACATCTCTGGAACCAAATGCAATGTCTAGTCCACTTGTTCAGTACACACTAAATTTTTATGAAATAAATGAATATTACCTTAAAGTTAGGTGACACCATTCTCATTTTTAAAAAGTGAAATTGAGATTCCAATTATTAAGTAATTAGTACAATGTTCTAATGGAGCTAGTACTCAAAATCAAGTCTGATTTCCAGGAGAGAGATTTTCTAACATGCCAACTGTTTCCAAGTTATGAAAGATAATTTAACTTAGATAAAAATGAACATTTCCTTTAGCATTAAACACAGAGTATTCCTGGCTCAATCTAAAACTTGGTTTGTCTTCTGACTTTGATGAATCAGAATTTAATTTACTGAGCTTTCCTACCATATTGACCGGATGGAACAATTCATCCCTGTGAGACATCTGGAAAGGGAACAGCACTAAAAATTTCTTTCAAGGTTTTTTGAGTTTGGTTTAGTTTTTCTTTACTATGTTTTAAAACTCTGTTCCAGGGACTACGTGTCACAACCATGAATGTCATCAGTGCTTTGGCTGCACTGGCTGGGATTATTTTCACTATCATCAGCTTCACGCAGCAACACAAGTTCTGTGAGATGCCTTCCCTGGAAGGATCCTGTGTTGTAGGTAGAACACTTCTTGTTGTAAGTGATCTTGTTTTATATGAAGATTCTGTACAAACCTATCCGAACCATGTCCTTGGCACAAGGATACATTCATTTCCAAAACTTGAAGCTGTGTCAACATTTGAACTGATACGGAGAAGCACATTGAGGAATGAAGCTTAAGAAGGCTTAGAGACCATGTTCTTTGGATTTTGATTCTGGTTTGATCTTGTGTGAGCTTGCGACTTTGGCCTAACATCGTATGTGCTCTATACTTCACTTTTCCTCTTGTGAAAAATGAAGATAACCTAACTCATTGAGCTTTTGTAAGGATTACTTCAACTAGTACCTGACACAGTGTAAACAGTGTCAGTATAATAATTTTATTGACATAAATTGGATTAAACTATCATTAATATAAATTGGATTGCATTTTGCCTTTTCATTGAAAAGGAACAAAATGATTGAAACATTTGATCAATTGACACATACACACAAAAATACTGTGTGATTAAGTGTTTAAGAAATGAGGCATTTTACTAATTTTAGGGCACAAACTTTTATGGAACTGCAGCAATTTTATTCAATAATGGAAATGAGATATATCTTTACCAGGAAAAAGAATCTTAGGTGTTCATGTCATAAGTAATAAATAGCATTTTTAAAATCATGTCAAAGATTCCTTCTACTTCCATAAGAAAGTCCTGAGGTTTCATTCTGTTTTCACCAGCTATACCTTGAAGGCTTGAGCATTAGAAATTTAAGGATATTTAACCCAGTTAAGATGGAAGTGAAGTAGAATTATGGGAAATTATCTCCCTGAATAAAGAAGGAATCAATAAAAATGTTATCAGTTACTAAATACAAAATCTTATTTAATCCTCACAATCACCCATGGAAGTGGCTAAAGGACCCTCTCATATATTTTGAGTTAAATTCCAAAATTAGAATCAAGTTACTAAGGAAAGCCAGAAAAGAACACAAGGGATAAGTTTCCTTCCTAATTGGACCAAGCATACAATATACTAGTTTAATTCATACCCTTTTATCCTAATGTTCGGGAATCCACTGCTATCTGTTGCAGTAGTAATAGATAGAAGGAGTAATATACTAAAATACTGTATGAAATTTTGCTATTTCCTGCCTTCCATGGAAAGTATTACAAGATTAATTACCTGAACACTGAACCATGGAGAATCTGTTCTTATGCCTCACTTGTATAATTTCATGTCTCCTTGCTTTAACCAAGCTTAAAAAATAGAGCAGTGAGGTATAGATGTCTATTGGACTGATGGCTGTCACAATGATGGTTGTATACTCAAGACATTATTTAAAATGCAAGTCTGGGCACATTGCTAAATGTCTTTCTATTAAACATAGGATTAAGACTGAAATATACCTAAATCTCAGCTCAAACACTACTTATGTAAGGAAGACTTTCCTTACCACACCTCTACTCTCAGACATGATGAGAATCCCCATTATATTAGTGCAAAGCTCATACTTTTTTGTAGCATGTATCATAATTTACTTAACTAAATAATTACCTAATTATTTGTTAGTATCTGCTTCCTTTACTATGATGTAAGTTCCAGAAAGACCAAGATCAGGTCTCTTTTGTTCAATAGCTAAAGCCAGTAAATTGCCTACTACGGGGGGGGGTCTAAATACATTTCAGTTTTATCAACAGATGGTGAACAGCTAAGATTTTGGAAATACTAAAAGGAAACCAAAATTTGGAGAGACTCGGTCACTAGCCTAAGGTTAAGTGTGACCTTGGACTCAGTTGTACCCAGATTTAACTATTCTCAGAGTTTCAGCTTTTTGGAAATCATGCTGTACCATACTGCCTTTCATTCTAAATATTACCTTAAAGCAGAGTATGCAATCTGTGATCTGTATCCATCTTGCAGATATGATTTATTTGGCTTACATAGGTGCATAAATAGCTGAAAATTTTCATTTCAAAAATGCACGTGTAGTTGACTAAGTGGCTCAAGTGGTAGAGCACCTACCTAGCAAGCCCCAGACCCTTAGTTCAAACATCAGTACCACCAAAAAAAAAAAGGATTAGCAAAAATATGTGTATAGCTGAGAATGGTGCCACATGCCTATAATACCAGCTTCTTGGGTGGTGGAGGTAGGAGGATCTCAAGTTTGAGGGCAGTCCCAGAAAAATTAGTGAGACTCTATCTTGGAAACAAAAAAACAAACAAAAGGTCTGGCTCAAGTGGTAGAGTCTGGCGTGTTCAAGGCTCTGGGTTAAGTCCCCAGTACTGCCAAAAATGGGGGAATATATCAAGATTCCTTAGGAAAGAAAAATAAAACAGGCTTTATGGTGCCACATGGCAACAATTCACTGACTGGACTTGAGTAATATATACCTCCTATGAATACCATTGCTTTGTACTGTCTCCCTCCCTTTTCCACTCAACATGACATCTTGGACTTCACAGGCACTAGAGTTTGTTACCCCTGCCTTATCAAAAAGACATGAAAATTGTGCAATGTTTAAAGTTACAGAAACACCTAAAATATGAGTTTTGCCAAACTTGATCATGGAGCATAAGGCATTTTTGGCCTCTATGCTTAAAATGATATTTCTTTCATTCCCAATCCCATTCATTTCCCTTCATTATTTACAGGGGATTTTGTCAGTCATTTTAATCATCAGCATAGCAGAGCTCAGCATCTCTGTGACTGTCGCATCCTTTCGAAGCAACTGCTGGACACATTCAGATAAGGTGCGTTCAGTGTTATATTGGGACACTCTAAGGTGATTTCTGGTCTATTAGTGGACAGAGCATTATGCTCAGATACAGAACTGAAACTTCTAAATTTAGGAAGGTCAGAGACGGACTAGCTTTAGATCAAAGCTTACTCTACCCTTTAGGGAAATATACTTTCCCTTTTTGCCCTATCTACTGTTCTCAGTCATCTCTGCTCATACACAGTTCATCTCCCTGCCAAATATGTGAAATATCAGAATTTATGGAAACCCGTATTACTGTGACAAGGGGCAGTTACACATGGATCAGAAAGTATGTGAGACAATTCCCTCACCAAAAAGGGAGAAGAGAAAATACATTAACAGTGGTAGCAAATACTAGTTATAATAATCATTATAGTTTTTATGTGCCAAATGCTTACTATGTCAGTCATTGTTATGATCACTGCATAATGACTCAATAGTATTAAAACTATTATCTCATCCTTATTTAACATATGAAGGAATTAAGGCATAAAGAGGTTAAATAACATTCCCAATATCACAAGACATTAGGATTCTGACTCAGATGGCATAGTGCCGGAGTTTGCTCTCTAAGTTACAAATACCTCTCATTCAGTGGGAATTTTCCTGTTTTTATAAAAATCAACTTTATAGAAGTATAATTTACAAACAATAAAATACTCCAAGTTTAAGTGTACTGATCACTGAGCTTTGACAAATTGTATATACCTGTTTAGCTACTGTCACAATTGAGATGCAGTGCATTCCTATCAGCCACTTTTTGAATCTTCTCAGTTTATTTTTGAAATCTTTTGCAGTTAATGTTCTTATCACCTAGGTTGATTTTAGCTCTCGTTAATGCCATGGACATGAAATCATAAGAAATTGTTCTCTATGCCTCACCTCTTTCACACAGAAACATGTTTTTGAAATTTATCTATGCTGAGGTATCCATCATCCCTTTTATGTGTGGGCACCCCACAATCTGCTTATCCATTTACCTCTTCATGGATATTTGGATATTTTAAATTTTGTTTTTGTTTTTTGCAGCAGTAGTAGGGTTTGAACTCAGGGCATCATACTTGCTAGGCAGGTGCCCTGTCACTTGAGCCACTTCTCCAGCTCTGTTCTGTGCTGGGCATTTTCCATATGGCTTGGAACCTCCATCCTCCTGATCAATGCCTGAGTGGAGAAGTAGGATTACATGCCTAAGCCACCCTAAGTTTCTGAACAATTATCAATATGTTGCTACGAACATTTGAGTTCATATCTCCATTAATCAGATTTGCCTAAGCAAATCAACTTAAGGAAGGAAAAGCTTATTTTGTCTCATGATGTCAGAGGTATCAGTCCATGCTCACTTGGCCCAGTTGCTGTGGGCCTGAGGTAAGGCAAAACATCACAGTGGACAGGGCATGAAGGAGCAAGGCTATTTATTTCATGGCAGCTGAAAGTGGAGGGGAGGAGAGGGGAAAGGAGAAGAAAGGAGGGGAGGGAAGAGGGGACTGCAGAGGAGGAGAGGAGAATCCAAGACAAGATATAGCCACCAAGGACACATACCCCAGTGACTTACTGGGTCCAACCTCCCAATAATGTCATGTTATGAATCCATCAAGGGACTAATCTATTGATTAGGTAAGAGCCTTCAGGATCCAATCATTTCCCCAAAGTCCATAACACATGAACTTTTGGGGGACATTTCAAATTCAAAACATCACAATATCTATATGTTCATATTTAGGATTTGATTTCAAGATCATCAGATGTTTATAAGAATGTTTATAAGAAAATGTCTAACAGATATCCAAAGTGACTATACCATTTTTCATACTCATTAGCAATATATTAAAGGTATAGTTGCACCTTTAATCACTAATGCTTAAAATTAAATTTTGATGACCATGATGATGATGGACCTGAGTGTTAAAAGGAGATGACTGGTAAAACCAGCAGGAGAAGAAGGAGGAAAGGGCTCAGGAGGTGAAGAAGATCAAAGCATGTATATATATATATATATATATATATATATATATATATAGATAGATAGATAACAAATACTGTTTAATACTGTTTGAAAAAGGGAGAGGAGAAAGGAAGGAAGAAGGGTTAAAGGAATATTACAGAGGAAGTGAACTTGTTCAAGGTACATTGTATGCATCCATGGAATTATCACATGTTTGTACTATTAATGTCTGCTAATAAAAGTAGTAAAAATAAATAATAATTTAGTAATTCCAGTGGGTGTGCAGTGACTGGTATCTCATTGTAGTTTAATTTGCATTTCTCTAATGTCTAATGAGACTCTTGCAATATGTTTATTACCCACTTGTAGGTCTTGTTTTGAGATGCTTCTTTCAAATCTTTTCCTGACTTTAATTGGACTATTTACCTACTATTTATTGACTTCTAAAGCTTAATTAATTCTTACTCCAGGTTCTTTTTCAGATATTTGTATTGCTAATACTTTTCTCAGCTTGTGGTTGGCCTTTTCATTAATTTCATAGTTTCTTTGAAATGACAAATTTGATTATTTTTGCAGTTAGTCTTTTTTGTGTTCTAATAAAACTTTTCCTGCCCAAAGATGATAAAAACTTAATTCTTTATTTTTTCAAAGAAGTTATATACCTTTGGCTTTTATGTTTAGGCCTCTGGTGCACATTATCAGGTAGGGTTAAAATTAAGTACCTGCACTTCATCATGGGAATATTCAGTTACCCAAATACCATCTGTTGAAAATGTAATTCTTTCCCCTTATTGTCTTAGTGCTTTTGTTGAAAATTGACCACTTACTTAAAGGTGACTTTTGTTCCACTGTTCAGTATGTCTATGCCTATACATACAAAAATTCTTTATTTTCATGAAGTCTGGTTAATATATTCTTTACTTTTTTTGTCTATTCTTTTGGTGTCATACCCATGAAATCTTTGCCAAATCCAATTGTAGTTAATCTTGATTGTCAACTTGAATGGATTGCAAAACACACAGGAGATTAGTAAAGCACATCTTTTGAGGGGGCAGTGAGGGCATTTCCAGAGCAGACTAACTAATGGAGGAAGATCCACCCATGTGTGCAGTACCATCTAAGGGACGATGAAATAAAAGAAGGAAAAAGAAAGAGTCCCACTAGTGCTGGCATTCTCTCTTTCTGCTTCCTAGATGCCATAACATGAGCTGCTCTACTCTGCAACTACAAGTCCCTGAATTCAAACCCCAGTACTGCCACAAAAAATATTCTTCATAAATTTTTCACAAAGTAAATTTACTCCATGTTTATTATGAATGGATATTGGCTTTCATATTTTTTTATTGAATGATTACATTTTTCATAGCATCTGCATATTATACAACTACAGAAGAGTACAAATCCATGTTGGAACAATATTAAAATAAATTACAGTAAATAATTATCCAATTGAATTCAGTGTGTAGAGAGTTTTATTCCTCTTCAGCATAGTAGTATCCAAAGTACAGCAGGGGATTCAAAGATAGTATAACATGGACTATGGTCTCAAGATTAAGAAAGGGAAAATTAACTCTTCATATTTCTGGAAAATTTTCCTTGTACCAACTACCATGCTTAAAAGCATTACTTCATGATCTTCATTCATAACCACCCTGTAGTAAGGAGTAGCTGAAGTGATAAATCTACAAAAACAAAGATTAGAGTAGAAAACCAGGACCTAGGATTCTATTACAATGTGTGAATCCTAGCTTCACAGTTTATAGCTCTATGACACTGGTCTGATTAATATCTCAGAAGTTCAGTTCCCTCTGCTGTAAAACAAGGATAATAACCTTATAGGGATGTTATAACAATTACTTGACATGACTTTGGAAATTTGCCTGGGACCTATTAATAACTCAGTCATCACTAAGGATAAGAAATTCTAAAATCATGGTACTTTAAGTGTGAATAAACAGGGAAATTATATATAACTTATGCCTCCAAAACTTACTTTGAATACATTCATAAGCTATAATTCCAGTATAACAAAAGCTTAGGGATCAGTAAAGATACAGAAAAACCCTTAAAATACCAAAATAACATAAATAGTCCTCTAATAGAGATAAAATATGGGCATGGAAAACAAATTAAGAGGGCTAGGAGAATGTGTAGATTCTCAGTGAGGCCAACTGGGTAGGCATAATTCATTTAAACACTGAGTTCCAAAACCTTCATAAAATAGATTAAAAATTATATTCTGATTCTATGAACAGCCTCAGAAAAGGCACAGGCTAATAAAAAAATCATCAGGCTTCATTGTAATGAGAAAAAAATGGGAAGCATTCACTAACATTTTATTAGATGCTATATAAAAATTTAGCTATATAAAAGTACAATAGACTTCAATTCAAAGGCAAATCCAAATTCCCTAGCCTACCATATCATTTAACAATTTCTAACTGCCTACAATTTGCTATCACACCATAAGGGCCACTTATGGTATATTTTATGCCCACTGTTTACACTGTTTCCACTCCCTGAATTCTGTCTCCTGTCTTACTTCACTTTGCCTCTTTTGCCTGTGAAAATCCTACTTAACCATCAAGACATAGATCAGATATCATCTCTTGCACAAAGCATTTTCTGGTTCTATTACAATTAGGTCATCTTCTGTATTTCCATGAAGCAGTCACTGCTTATTTTTATAATAAGTACTCTGTATTAGGCATTTCCTGAATGGTTTTATTATCTACTTATGTGTTTTTCTGCCTATAATGGTGAACATCTTAAGGGCAAAACTCACACCTAATTTTCTTTGATCACCAACATTTAGTTCATCTAGGTGATCAATAAATCATTGCAAATTAAACCTTCATAGATGAATATTAATTGAATGATTTAAATGTCTTAAAATTTTTATAATAGTAGGAATGGGAGGAAAATTTGAGGCAATCTTAATCAAATCCTCTGTTCGATATTTGAAATAATAAGGGGTAACTACTTTTCCAAAATAATGCCAATGAGTTGATGGTGAAGGGAAGAAAGGTATTTGTTTTCTTTCCTATATGTAATCATAAGTCAAAGATGAAAAATAATTTGAAGATACAAAAAGAAAATAACATCAAAAATGATTCTGTCTGTGAAATTAATGTTCCACTCTCCACTTGGTTTTATAGGTTCTGTTTTTCTTGCCTTCAGATATCACTCAAAGTAGTGAACAACAATCCCCAGAAGAAAATGCTCAATTACAATTTGCATTTCAAGAGAACCCTTACTTTGACAATACAACTTCAAACATACAAACCATTTTCTTTGGAGGCTATGCTTTCTTCAAGTTAAGAGTCTCAAGAGGTCCTTTGTCTCCCCAAAGCAAATCACAGCCAAGTGATAAAGCTCATGATAGTTACTACACACCTCTTATACCTATTCCAGATGAACACCAGGACAGTATCCCTCCACCTTTCAAGTTGTCACAGGAAGAAGAGATGAAATCTCCACCTTCCACATTAGAAGCAAGTTCCTCAAAAAATCCTATATTCACTCAAGGAAACAGTACAACAGAACAGCTGGATGATAAAGAATTAAAATCTGCTACTGCACAACCCTCTGAAATGCAAACCCAACTGCTTCAGGACCAAGCCTCGCCACTCCAAGCTGTACCAAACTCATATGAAAGAAAACTCTTAGCTTTGCTACCCAATGACGTTATATCCTATGCACCACTGATACGAACCCTGCTAACACAAGCCTTGCAATCTGAACCTCCATCATCCCATTTCGAACAGTTATATGACTGATCTGAAGACTTGCCCTCTCAAGACATACCTTCTCAAGACAACTATCCCAAGACATTCCAATTGAAGACAGTCCATCCCAAGACATACCATCCCAAGAAATTCCAATTGAAAACATTTCATCCAAAGATATTTCATCCAAGAACATATCATCTCAAGACATGACATCCCAAGAAACTCCAACCAAAGACATTTTATCCCAAGACACACCATCCCAAAACACACTATTCCAAGACACACCATCCCACAACACACCATCCCAACACATTCCAATGCAAGACATTTCATCCTCAAATACAACACTCCAAGATACACTGTCCCAACACATTCCAATGCAAGATATTCCATCCCAAAACATACCACTCCAAGACACACCACCTCAAGACATTTCTACCCAAGACGTTTTATCCCCCAAAACACCATCTCAAGACATTCCAGCCCAAGACATTTCATCCCAAGACAAACCATCTCAAGACATTACAACCCAAGACATTCCATCCCAAGACACACCATCCCAAAACACACCATCTCAAGATGCATCATATCAGTATATGCCATTGCAAAACACATCATCCAAAGATGTGCCATGCCAAGATCTTCAATCACAAAGCCAAGAGTTTCCAGAAATAATATATCAAGACATTCAATCAGAAGTCATGGAACTGACCAAGAATGGAAATCTGAGAAGAAACCCCATGGCTTAAAATCCCCAAGAAGACTATCTTTAGATCTGCAAAACAAAGATGGGAAATCTCCAAGAAGACATTCCTTAGACCTGCCAAGAAAACATAAGCAATCCCAAAAGCGATATTCCTTAGACCTACCAAGCAAATCTCCAAGACGAAATTCTCTAGACAAAAAACTCAAAGCCTGGCTATTCCCAAAGAAGCACTCCATAGATAGCAAACACAATATAATCAAAGCTCAAAGCAAACTCCCTGATCAGCAAGCTGAAGATCAAGAGGACAAAGGGGAACAATCCGAAAACGATCAATATGAAGACCAAGAGGCCATAGAAGAGCAATCCCCAAAGGCACAATCTGAAGGTGGAGAAGATAAAGATCAGCAGGCTAACAATGAGCAATCCCCAAAGAAACAAATCCATGATCAGCAAGCTGCAGACCAGCAGGCCGAAGAAGAGAAACCCTCAAAGGGACAATTCCCCAAATTGGCAAGTCAAACAACAACAAACTCAAGTGCAGAAAGCTCCAAAGCAGCTCTCGGACAGACAGGAATACCAAAACTACCAATCCCCAGAAAAGCTCCACTGGACAACCTCAAGCAGGCAACCTTTTTGTCACCAATTCCAAGACTGGAGAAGTCAAGGCTGGAGAAACAGAGACTGGAAAGCACAAGAATGGCAATTTGAAACACAGCATTCCCTAAACTGGGAATCCCAAGATCTATTAGAGAAAGAAGCCCTAAAGCAGAAAGATTTGTACCAACAAGCCCAAATCCAGAGCACCACAGCCCAACAAAACCTAGGCTGGTCATCACAAAACATTTTATTTCAAGTCAGTGAATATCAAGATAAAGTCCAACACAACACTGAATCCAGAGTTGTAAGAGAAGAAGATGCATATATAGAAACAGGAGACAGAAAAGGAGATGACATGAAATATAGAGATCAGAAAACACAGAAGATATGAGGCCAAACTGTCATCCTTCTTCTAGCCAAAACTTAGTTCAGCGACATGTATTTAACCTGTTTGACCAACACAGATTCAGAACAAGAGATACAGCAAAACCCCTCAGGTTTTGAAATTCTGGATGGAAATTCTTCCTCATGTCCTGCAAAGGTCAACATCAATCTGAAGACTCTGACTAACATTCAAAATGTACCCAAAATACCACACTGCCCCCAGTAATGGAACCAAATGAGGGGAAAACAATATAGGTCTTTCCTAACCCATGATCTCAACCATGATTGCTACCTAACTCATTCAGCAGAAGATGAACAGCATGCAAAACCCTCAAGAATTCAATCTTAATTAAAATAAAATGACAACAAACCAAATGTTAACACTATATCAGAACTTTCTAGGGGTGAAGAAATAAAGCCCATGTAAACATTTTGTCATCAAGTTTAGTGTTTCACTTTAGGATCAATTAATTTATAACTTAATATTTAAAGGACCTACTTTTTCAAGGTGCTAATATTTTGCCTCCTCCTTTGTATAGTATACAAGGTTCAGAAAGTCAAC